CATAGGGTCTATTCTGTGATTACTTTATGACCCATTCTCAACCCTGCCGTCGCCAAGTCTTTTTATGGGGGTCACCAAGATGTCTATATGTATGAGATAAATTCTTGGGTTCTCGAATTTGAGGTGAGAGAGAGAGAGAGAGAGAGAGAGAGAGAGAGAGAGAGAGAGAGAGAGAGAGAGAGAGAGAGAGAGAGAGAGAGAGAGAGAGAGAGAGAGAGAGAGAGAGAGAGAGAGAGAGAGAGAGAGAGAGAGAAGAGAGAGAGAGAGAGAGAGAGAGAGAGAGAGAGAGAGAGAGAGAGAGAGGAGAGAGAGAGAGAGAGAGAGAGAGAGAGAGAGAGAAGAGAGAGAGAGAGAGAGAGAGAGAGAGAGAGAGAGAGAGGAGAGAGAGAGAGAGAGAGAGAGAGAGAGAAGAGAGAGAGAGAGAGAGAGAGAGAGAGAGAGAGAGAGAGAGAGAGAGAGAGAGAGAGAGAGAGAGAAGAGAGAGAGAGAGAGAGAAAGAGAGAGAGAGAGAGGAGAGAGAGAGAGAGGAGAGAGAGAGAGAGAGAGAGAGAGAGAGAAGAGAGAGAGAGAAGAGAGGAGAGAGAGACAGAGAGATAGACCAATTATTAATATCACTAATGGTATTGTTATTATTACTATCATTATCATTATTGCTATTATTATTATCATTATCAATATTGCTATTATTATTATTATTATTATCATTATTTATATTATCGTTATAGTTATTATTATCATTCTTATTGTTATTACTATCATCTTTATTATTATTAATATCATCATCATCTTTATCATTATCATTATTATCGTTATCAATAATTATTTTATCATCATTGTTATTTTTTCTTATTATTACTATTATAACAATCTTTATCAGCGGTATTATCATAAACATCAGTATTGCCATTATTATTGTAATTATCATTGTTATTGTAATCATCCTTATTACTATCACTAATATCATTATTATATATATCATCATTATCATCAATTATCGTTATCATTATTACTGCTATCATCACAATTATTTCTATTATTTTCATTATTACTCTTACTATCACTATTATTATTGTATTAATAATAATAATAATATATTTTTTATTATCATTATCATGTTGTTATATGATTATTGTTATGATCATTATCTTTAATACTCTTATCTATCATTATTCATCATTTACAATCATATATTGACATTCATTTATATACTGCCTGATTGTTTTGGTTGTCATCCATTAATTAGTCATCATTATCAATAATATCAATGTCATTATCGATGATTTTTTTTTTATAACTATTATTGTTATTGATGTTATAATAATAATGATAACAATTATTATTATTACTATTATTACTATTATTATTGTTGTCATAATTACTGTAATCATTATTATTATCATTATTATTATCTATCATCCCATCATTATCCTCATAATTATCTATCACATCATTATGATATTTATCATTAGTACTATCTATGTCAACTACTATTATTCCCTATATATTTATTCATTGCTCATTGATGGATCACTATTTATCATTATATTATAATTCAATTAATATCATTATCATTTTGAATATTATTCATTATTACACCCATAAATTTCATTCAATCCATACATTATTAATATTACTATTATTATTATTATCATTATCATTTTTGTTATTGATATTATTATTGCCATCATTATTATTACCTTTGTTATTGTTATTATCATAGTTATTATTCATTACTATTGTTGTTATTATTATTATCATTATTATTATCATAATTTTATCCATTTTATTATTATTGTTATTTCCCTCATTATCATTATTATTACTACTACTATCTTTACTGTTCTTATCATTATTGTTATTATTATAATTTGATCACTGTTATTACTATTATCGTTATTACTATTGTTACTGTTTTTATTATCATTATTATTATCATTTTTGTAATTAATACTCTTATCATTATTACAGTGACAATCTGAGTAGTTTAAGAATTGTTTTGTTTTGAGAATTTTTTGTTTTGAGAATGTTTTGTCTTGAGAATGTTTTGTTTTGAGAATGTTTTGTTTTGAGAATGTTTTGTCTTGAGAATGTTTTGTCTTGAAATGTTTTGTTTTGAGAATGTTTTGTCTTGAGAATGTTTTGTTTTGAGAATGTTTTGTCTTGAGAATGTTTTGTCTTGAGAATGTTTTGTCTTGTTTGTTGAGAATGTTTTGTTTTGAGAATGTTTTGTTTTGAGAATGTTTTGTTTTGAGAATGTTTTGTTTTGAGAATGTTTTGTTTTGAGAATGTTTTTTGTTTTGAGAATGTTTTGTTTTGAGAATGTTTTGTTTTGAGAATGTTTTGTTTTGAGAATGTTTTGTTTTGAGATGTTTTTTTTTATTTTTTTTTGAGAGATTTTGAAATGCATTATTCAGCTGTATTCTGGACCGATGGACTGTATTATTAGAGTAAAAGGGGAATTTCAAATGAACACTGACATTGCCAAAAGACCGACAGAAGACATCTTAATGATAAACTCGAGAAAACTGAGACAATTGATATCAAAATAGTTTCAGAATGCAGTAATCATGGTTTAATAGCCTCTGAAACGCATGTTATTGAACCTTTTTATGGACCCGATGAAAGTCATTATAATATCACGAGTGAATGTTCAAAGAAAGAGAAAGAGAGAGAGAGAGAGAGAGAGAGAGAGAGAGAGAGAGAGAGAGAGAGAGAGAGAGAGAGAGAGAGAGAGAGAGAGAGAGAGAGAGAGAGAGAGAGAGAGAGAGAGAGAAATGAAATGTGAATGTTCAAAAAGAGAGAGAGACAAAAAAAAAAAAAAAAAAAAATTGAAATCTTTCTTTAAGGTCAAAAATCATCTCACTCTCTAAAAACCTGTTGGGATTTCGTCTTTCACTTACTCCTCCGTTTCCCTAAGGGAGCTCTCAGCAGCAGGCTCACTCCTTGGAGACTTTCCTTCGCCTCTGTCTTGAGGAAGTGTCGGGTCTTCGCGAGTTGTTCCCGTTGATCGGAAAGGTGAAAGTGGCGGAAAAGTTTCCTGCTCAGATCAGAAAAGAATATGAATATATACAAATAAATAAATAAATAAATAAATAAATAAATAAATAAATATAATAATAATATATATATATATATATATATATATATATATATATATATATATATATATATATATATTATATATGTATGTGTGTGTGTGTGTGTGTGTGTGTGTGTGTGTGTGTGTGTGCGTGTGTGTGTGTTGTGTGTGTGTGTGTGTTGTATGTGTGTGTATTTATACCATCCGCAACGCTTTAAAAAAACTGTTTTTTCTACTATACAAACTTTCTCTACTATACTTATGCGTATATATGTTTTTTTTCTTAAATGCAATTGAACATTTTCCCATAACAACTGTACAGAAAAAAACAACAACAACGACGACAACAACAAGATGACTATTCCATCGAAAGTGAGAGTTCTCCGCATAAAAAAAATAAACTATTAAGAAGAAGGAGAAGAAGAAGAAGCAGAATTGCGAACTAAGACCTCGTTCTGGTCCATGGTTCACCGCGGGCCAAGAGCGGTCGCTGGTCAACACGCGGTTCCTGCACTTTCCTCTGGTGCAATTAGGATACGTTTGCGGGTCACGTGTCTCTTGTCTTGCGATTGTGTTCGTGATTGGATGCCACTGGCGATGGAAATGAAGCCGGCGGAGAAAACGGGGAATAACGAGAATGAGAATGTTTAAAAAAAGAAAGGAGAAATAGACGGAAAACAGAAAAAAGACATTTCTTCTTCTTCAAAAAAAAAAAGGGGCGTCCTTACCCAACCTTTCTCCGTTTTGGCGAATAACATTTGGCTCGGCGTCTGGATCCTATCTATCGCTTTGGCCTCCTTTCATCTCCGCTATCCCTGGCACGAGTCGCATCCTGCCGGAGGTGGAGCGAGTGCCCCCCCCCCCGCCCCCCATTCCTCCACCTCCTCCCCTCTTCGCCCTCTCCTTCGTCGTCGACAATGGCGCGACGATTCCAGATTGTGCAATTTTTGTTCAGATTTTACTACTTCGATGTTAACAAGAATGACTATGATAATGGATATATCAAACAAGATATTGTTATTAATCTTTATTGATAAGTCGATGTAAATAAGGGCTAGTAAAATAGAACTTAGGTCTGTTCTGCATATATCGTTATTATTGTTTATGCGAAATCGATGCAAATGAAGGCTAGTGATATAGAACGTAGGTCTGTCCTGTACCTTTCTATTTATTTCTGGCTCCTATTTTCGTGTTTTTTTTTTTTTTAACTCGCACGTAGACTAGCGATTCTTACAGATTTTCCTGATTTTCTTAGCTCGCCGCAGAAGATTAATAGTGTTTCGCTTTTCCTTTCTCTCCTACAATAGCCAATTCCCCCCCCCCCACCTCCCCATTTCCTCCCCTTTTCCTAGAATCCTCTTTTCTCTCCTTCGTCTCCTTGGTTCTTCCCCATATCCCCCACCCTTCTCCAACGCATCCCCTCCCGCATTTCTCCTCCATCCCTAACCCTTCTCCTCCAATTTCTACCTTTCCTTTCTCTTCCCACGCGCCCCTCCCCTCTCTCTCTCCCCTCCCCCCTATCATCCTCCCTTCTAGGCGATCCCCCAACCTCCCACTCACATCTCCCACTTTTTCCCCCATCCCCCAACATTCTCCTTCAACCCCTATCCATCTCCCCTTCTTCTCTTCCTACCTCCTACACACACTTCACTTTTCCGTCTCCAACTTTCTTCTCCAACCTCCACCCCTTTCCCTCTACCCTCCCCACATTCCTACCCATCTCCCTCAACTCTTACCCTTCTCCTCAATCCCCACTGACCTCCCTCAACCCCACGACCTCCCCCAAACCCTACTGGCCTCCCCAACCCCCACTGACCTCCCCCAACCCCACTGACCCCCCAACCCCACTGACCTCCCCAACTGACCTCCCAACCCCCAACCTCCCAACTTCCCCCAACCCCCACTGACCTCCCCAACCTCC